AAGCTAACCACATTGAAAATTATATAAGCCAAGTCACTGAAGTCCAACAGATTATGTATTCAATAAAAGTAAAAGATTTGTAGCAATTATTTAGATAAAATACTCTTTTTGATTTTGATAATTTTGAACATCATTAACACTGATACAAAATACCACAGTGATCATTATTGGCACATATAGTGCTCCTTTTCTAAGTGTCAGCTTTCACTATACAGTTAATAATGACAAATTGTTTAATTTTTTTACACTTTTTACACTTTTTACTCTTTTGGAAGACAGTGACAAGAGAATGCTAACATCAGAGAAGAGCTTATTTTGCTGACATTCAGAAGACTGCCACAACCTAAACTGTATCATAAATTAAGGGTGACATTAGATCAATATTTCTGCACACAAAACAAAGTTTTGTAATTAATACAGAGAACAATTCAGAGTCATTTTTGTAGGCAGCAGCTACATATAAGCTCTGTTACCTGCAATTACATTTTCTATTAAATATTTTGCTTTATAGCACATACTGTTACATACTTGTATGATACACAAAACTCTTTGCAACAACTACAACAGATTGAGATTTGGTTATTAGAAATTTGTTGCAATTCTTTTTTAGTACTTGGTAGATCTTGATACACATTTAGCAAATTGAAAAATCATAAAATGTTGACTCATGGGAAATATCTTCTCAATTTTATCCTATAATATTGTCATAATTTTAAATGCTCTAAATATTTTCCACAAAATTGATTAAAACATTCAGAAACTAACACATAAATTATGAACAAATTTCCATTTCCCAAATTGTGTATGGAGTACATTTTGTAGAATAATTACTATTTTTCACATTATTTTAGAGTTTTTAAAATGAAGTTTTACCATTTTTCTAAACTTATGTGCAACTACTTACTTTGTTTTCCTTGATAACAATTTCTTCTACATAACAGATTTTAAAGGGTGATAAAAATGAAAAAGACCTAATTTATGATTCTTTGCTTCAATTTATTTTTCCTTTTTCTTATAACTTAAAAGGGCCTATAAAGTTCATCGAGTGAAATAAAGTTACAGAGAAATATTTTGTGGTGCATGGACCTTACAAATTATCTCCTAAGAAAAAGATATAAAAACCACTGGGTGAATCTATTTCAAGCTAGATTTGAGGAGACCATCTACAGAACAAAATATAATGTCTCCTACAGATTATTCAAGTAATTACGATTTCAAACAAATGATATAGCTCAGTCAGAAGCAAAAACTGAAATATTATATTCTGATCTGATAATTCTATTAAAACACATCTACCGTTATCTCTTTTCTAATTAGTTTCAAAGCTGCTAAATTTGAACTAAGCAGTTTCAAAGCAGTAAAATTTGAAACAGCAGGGATTTTTTGAATTGAGTTGAATCATAATGCACCAGAATTAAATATACAATATCTTTTAAAAAGAAATTTACATTTTCTTTAAAAAAATTAACAAAATGATTTTGTGCTTAGACATTATTTTTAATTTAATAAACCAAAATTTTATCATATTATATTAAAAGATGCTACCAGCATTATTTGTGGCATTTTTAAATGGAATGCTCTCAAGTATATAGTGTCAGTCATTCTCTTATAACTAAAAAAATCATAATATTTAAAAATTCCATAAAATATAAACTTAATTTTCTTCATATACTACAAATCTTCACTGAATCAAAAAGCAAAACTCTAATTTTGTAAGGCTCACTTTTCAGGTATTTATTATATTTTGAAATTACAAATAATTCTCATGTTGTACCTTAGTCTAGCATCTAAAAATATGTGGAAAATCCTCTTTACCTTTATATAAACTGAAAAAAAGGAAGACTTAAGTACAACACCAGAAGGGGGTGGAGGTGGAAGTGTAGGGACAGTAACAAATAAGAAAATAATTAATTTGTTGATTTCAACAACTGCATTTTCATGTGTGTGTGTGTGTGTGCGCGCGCGCGTGTTTCAAGATAAGTGGGAAGTTTCAAACATACACTGCTTTGGGGAAAAGTGGCAAATCAGTTTGTATAATGAAATAATCGAAGTTTTAGGAAAGCCAAATGCAAATAATTAAAGCAATGTATAGAGACAAACTGGAAAAATTGAGGTGGTTATTTAGCTATTCCAGGAAATACTGGGAGAAAATATTGGGAAGAAAACAGGTCAAATGCTTTGTATGTTTTCTACATAAGCTGAATTCACTTAATAACTACAGGTTTTCAGTGCAGTCTAACACCATAATTGCCCAATTTTCCACTTTACCAGTGTAGACAAAAGGTAAAAAATATCAAGGGGACAAAATTCTCAATTACATTACATTTTTTTCCGAAAAGAAAAAAAATGTTAATATGACCACTGAAACAAATGTTCATTTGAGAGTATCACAATGAGAGTGAGATACTAATTACTTTTATTATACAGAATGATGTCATGATATAATTTTTTTTTCAGATTCAGGACCTTAACCTACATATAAACTAGCTTAGAGAATGGATATAATTGACCAAATCCTCATTATAAATAACCATGAAAAAAACTTGCAAAACATAGAGGATAGGAGCAGCTAGGTGACACAGCGGATAGAGCACCGGATCTGGAGTCAGGAGGACCTGAGTTCAAATCTGGCCTCACACACGTAACATTTACTAGCTGTGTGACCCTGGGCAAGTCACTTAACCCCATTTCCCAGCCAAAAAATAAAAAAAACAAAAAACAGAAGACAAAAAAAAAACCATAGAGGATAGAAATCTGTCTTAGAGGCGCATATGCATAAAAATAGCATTGTATTTATACAGGTCTGCTAGCTTTTCCCCATATATGAAATTCCATCTCACACTTCCTACCTTTGTACAAGTGATCTCCTATTCCCTTTTTACCTCTATCTCACAGAATCCTTAGCTTCCTTCAAGATCATACACAAGGCCTTTCCTGATCTTCTCTTGTCCCCATGGCCCAGTTTTTACTACTGATTCCACCTTGAAATTTTTTTTGTATTTACCTATGTAAATATTTTATCCAATAGTAAAATGCAAACTTCTTCTGGTCAGGGACAATTTTATTTTTTGTCTCTGTATCTCCAGTGCCTAGCATAATACCTTGAACATAATGAGCACTTGAGAAATGTTTACTGAATTGAACTGAATTATTTCCAAAACATACTTGTGTTTATATTTTTTTAAAATGCAGCAGTGCTTTGTAATCATAACCAGCTCCTAAAGAGCTGCAAATGCATTGTAATTTGAGATGTAGTTGCATGCATACACATTGTGCTGATTTTAACATAACCACAGAAATAAGAGTTCAGAGATAAATGAACAAATCTAGAGTAAAATAAACATAATTGTCAGTCTTTTACTTGCAGGTGACATTTATCTATTGTCAGTTTAAATATTAGATTATCTCTGTTAAGTTTAACATTCAACAGCAGACTAGTGTCTTGTCTTAAGTTTAGTATAAAACAAAAAAAGAAAACCTCCATCTTGTGGAGCTGTCACAAATTAACAAGGAAAAAATACAATTGTGAAAGAAATAATGTTGTCTCATCTCAACTCGGATTTTTTTAGTTTCTTTAATTCATGGAACATTAGCCCCATCCAGTGTTTGTAATATATATTTCCTTTGCTAAAAATCAAGTTAACTGTGAATGCTATTTGAGTTAGGTAAATATTATCCAGGCTTTTCCGATTACTAAGTTGTAGTTGTACTATTTTTAAAAAGGACAAATTCCCAAATTACAAAGGTTAAATTATGAAGATGAGAAATGAATGTTATTTAAAGACATTAAAATATATTTTAAATGGTGCTATAAATACAGTGTTACTAACTTATTCAATAATCAATGTCTCATTTTTAGTTTGGGAAAGGAAAAGTCTAAGTCATGCATAAAAATAAAAATCTGTTTTCTTAATTCAACATGAGAAAAATGTGGAAGATGTGCAAACCAAAAACCAACGTATTCCTTAAGAGTAAAAAAAGAGAAGTGGGTAGTGGTAAAATTTCACAAACCCAACTAGGTAGCAATATACTATCTGGTCAGTATAATTAATAAGAATAAATCAAGAGGGGGAAAACTCATTTTTAAGGAAATATATATAACTAAAAACAGACTTGTTTGTATCACTAACTTTTTGTTACTGTTTCAAAAGTCATCATTTTTATTAAATTAATGGGGGGAAAGATCTGTTAGGAGCTATTTGCATAATGCTAATAAAATAAAACTAAGCAGAACATGAATATCAATAAGCCAGAAGTGATTATTAATTGGTATTTTAGCAACCATAAAAAGTATTTCCTGAAATAGTTGGTGGTCTTATGTTATTTTCTGTTTGTAATTGGGTATGTAAATTATTTAATTAGAGAATCCAGTCAATCCCTTTTAATCTTATACTGGCAAATAAAATGCATTCATCAAACTGTATAAGCTTATGTGTGCCAATTGAGGACAGCAAAATTATCCCCAAAAGATTCTAAATGCAGAATCAATCTATTGCATCTTCTCTTAAAACCTGATTTGGCCTCAAAGAGAAACTCTACCAAACTATGATGGTGAGAAGTAGATCTGTATCCTTCTTATAGATGGGACTTTGATATAACTTTAAATAATCTTTGTTAATAGCCATTAATAGATAAATTATGGTTGATCAAACTGATTTCAGGTATGGCATTTTTGAGAAGTTACACCCCCATATAGCAGCCAACATCTTTTCATGTAGAAGTAAATCACATTTTAATGTTTCAGATTACTTTCTATTTGCTATTTTGTCATAAATATTATGTTAGTCAGGAAATAAGGATGTCAGAGGACTAAATACATTTTAGACTAATCAGAAACTACCACATTTTGGCCAAGAATTGGTAGATTAAGATATCTGTGAACCAAATTTCTTATTTCTGCTCCTGAATAAAATTTCTCATATTATTTTTCTGATTATTTTAGAATTAGAACCAAAAAAAAAGGAGAACCAAACTAGAAATAGGACAGTAAGGTCACCAAAAGCTGTTATTCTTCTCCCAGAAGATTTTTTTTTTAAAGTTTATATAGGTCAGCAGCTGAAACTTATTCCACATCAGAAGCATCATTGTCAGAAAGATGATAATTGCTTCCCTTCACTCGAATATATTCTATGTATCTCCCTTCATCAGAATCTAAAGTACCACATGTACATAATTTGTTTTCAAACAATGATTCAATTTCCTCTAGTTTTCTCCCTTTGGTCTCAGGAAGACAACCATAGATGAAAATGAGTCCCAAACCAGCAAATCCAGCATAGAGAAAGAAGGCTCCTGCAATGGAAAACAATACATATAGTCATGAATTAAACTTTTCGTTCTAATAAATAGCCAGGTTTCTATGGCCATTTTTGAGTGGAAAAGGATAGTATTATTATTAATCAGCACCTAATATAGTTCCTTTACATGTGATAGTCAATAAACAGTGGTTGAATAAATGAGAGATTAATAAAGAGGTAGAAAAAAGGCTGGACAGAGAAATATTATATATATACATATATATGTACATGTATGTATTATATATGTATGTATGTATGGAAAGGGAGGAAAACACGTTAATACAGATCTCTATAATTTCTAATTCTCAAGCACTCTAATTTGTCAATAATTTGCTACTATTATAGAAACTTACCTAAAGTCTAGGATTCTTGTTATGGAATCAAAAATGTGCTTGGTTTACTCTGGGTTGTCCTGGTGCTGTGAATGCCTAAATTGCCTATATTCCTTTCATGAGGCTATGTCATGAAGGCAATTATATACTAAGCCTAGCTAATAATATTTTATAGCGTGGTCCATCTACTCTTCATATGTAAACCTTTATTGTGTATAACTCAAAGCCCATCCACTATGATAAAAACAAAGACAAAAAAAAACCCCAGAATGCTAAGCTGTGACACAATATGGTTATGCTGTTTTAGGTTATTTTTAACGCCACCTTTATTACCATATTTATTATTAAACTAAGTACACTCTGATGAAGCAATTTTCAGGTGCCCTGAAACAATAGTAAATTGAGATCTCTTTGTAAGGGAATTTAACTGAGATTAAAGGAAGTTCATACCTGCATTTCTATATATACTATAAATAAGTTTAACTTGGAAACAAATAGGTATTAAGATTGTGAGTTGCCAAAGTCAACCTAAGAGATCAGAGTATATCTAAATGTAATATGTTAGACCATTTTAAAGGAAAGTAGTTGGTAAACTCAAATAATTAAATTAATATAGAATTATATGATTTTGAATTAGAGAAGACCTTATATATAATTTAATCCAATACTGTCATTTTAAAGGAGAAGAAATGATATCCAGAAAAATTAAGGAACTTGCTCAGCATCACAAGGTAGGTGATAGAACCATGCCATTTTGCCAGGATTAACTAGCTAAGTTGAACATGTTATATATGCAGACACAGCATAACCTCCATGCTATAAAAAGTGGAACTCATTCCATGTTGAGATTTCTCACTAGCAATTTTGTTGTCATTTCAGTCATGACCAACTTTTCATGATGCTATCTGGGTTTTTCTTGGCAAAGATATTGGAATGGTTTGCCATTTCCTTCTTCAACTCATTTTATAAGGCAAACAGGGTTAAGTGACTTGCCCAAGGTCACAAAGGTAATAAGTACCTGAGGCTATATTTGAACTCAGGTCTTCCTGACTCAAAGCCAACCCTAGCTGCCCACCAATACAATAAATCCCCATTAAAAAGACCTACTCCAATGTCTCATTATGACTCAAGGGTGACCTTGGTTTCACAATAGCCAAAGCAGGAAGTATAGCCTCTAGTATATTCTACCAAGGTGGGGAGGCTTCAGGCAAGGTTCTATTGATGGACACTATTTTCTGAGGATCAAGCCTGTCTCAGTATAGGGAGGTATAGAAGGTTAGCCAACAGGTGTTGAACAGCTAAGCTTTGGTGACTGATAACAAATGAAAATACAAGATAGTTTTTAATTCTGTTCAACCCTATTCCATTTTGTAGTGAAGATAATAGAAAATCATATAGTTCTAAGGTTGTCTATATAACCTTTAATTAAATTGCTAATATTTCTAAAGTGCAATCTTTGAATAACAATTAGTTGACGTATTTTGGGAAAAACCGAAAAGTATCTCTGTTGATATTTTTTCTAAAAATTAAACCTTAAGAAATGAAGAAGATATGGCTGAATGAAAGAATTATTAGTTCTGCTTAGAGAAGTGAATTTGGTGGAGTCAGTTTCACAAAGGCAACAAGAGATATAATTTCATATCATACTTTATCTTCTCAGGTGGTAATATACTACCTCGAAGATAAACTGTGGCTTATGCACCAACATTTGTTGCAGAGGATGAAATAGGTAAATTTTGTAAGGATCACTGCTGGCAAGATGGCTGCCTGAATGGAAGGCAGATTATCCATTTCTCTAGAGTAAAGGGATAACCTGAGGAAGCCCCAAGGTGGCCAGAAAGTCTCAGTATGGTGACCTTGGAAGCCCTTTGGCACTGCAGTAGGCAGCAATGCAGCAAAGTAGAATGGTGCATCACTATCTTTGTGTAGCAGCCTTTAGACTTTAAACTGCAGTGCTCAGATTAAGACAGCTCAGGTCAAGAAACTGTGAGGACTCTAACATTCTGTTCTGAGGTAGTAGAAAGTGTCTTGAATATTCAATGTTCTGTATCTCAAAGATCCATGGAAAGCCTACCCTAGAAGGTAGAAGTTAGCACAAGAATTCAGGAGACATAGGGTGAGACAAACAGTTTTCTCTCCTGTCCACCTGAAAGCATGTAATATGGTACAGCCTATTACTGGCACAAAGCCTCTGTTCTGGAACTTGAGATGGAGGGAGGTGTAAATCAAATAAGTCACAAAGCAATATAAAAAATAACAGTAAACCTAGAGATCCTCCAAAAGGAGAAAGTAACTGTAATGACAGCATACAGAGGCTCAAAGGAAAACTGGATTTTCCATGAAGATTACGTGAATTCCTAGAAGAAATGAAGGAAGAAATAAAAAAGGAGATAAAAGCTCCTGAGGAAAGAATTGACAGGAAAATAAGTAGCTTAGAAGAGTTATAAACCTTATTCAAGAAATGAACTCCCTGAAAACTAGATCAAACAGAAAAAAAACTCCATGAGACAGAAATAACAGAACAAAATGAAAAATTGAAAAAAAAAGAAAATTTAAGATATCTGATGTCGTAAGAAACTGATCTAGAAAACAGGTCAAGTAGAACTAATTTAATCATTACTTGACTCAGAGAGGGTGAAGCCAAGATGGCAGAGTAAGGCAGGAACTCACTGGAACTCACCCAAATTCATCTCCAAATATCTGTAAAATAACAACTCAAATTGAATTCTGGAGCAACAGAACCAACAGAAGAAGGGGTGAAATAATTGTCCAGACTAAGACAACTTAGAATGTCAGCAAAAAAGGTTTGTCTCATTTGGGTAAAAAGGGGAGCAAAGTCCTGTGCAGACGGCATCCAGGCAAGCCAGCAGCAGGCAGTACCTCAGCAAGGTAGCATTGAGGCCCCTAGCCCTGGGACAGGTCAATACAGCGGCACTATGCCCCTAAAACAGGCTAGCAATGAGGCCCTGTGCCTTGGTGCAAGAAACATGTCAATGCTCCAGCCACCCCAGGAACAGAGCCCAGTTTTAACATAAAGCTAAAAGTCACAAATTAGGCTGGAAAGTGAGCAAGGAAAAAAAAAAGAACCTGACTATAGAAAGTTACTATGATGACAGCGTAGATCATAACACAAACTCAGAAGACAAAAATGTCAAAATGGCTATACACAAAGCCTCGAAGAAAAATGAGATTGGTCTCAAGCCCAAAAACAACTCCTGGGATAGCTCACAAAGGATTTTAAAAATCAAATAAGAGAGGTAGAAAAAAACTGACAAAAGAAGTGAGAGTGATGCAAGAAAATCATGGGAAAAAAAGAGTCAACATCTTGGTAAAAGAAGCACAAAAAATGGAAAAAAATGTACAAAAATACACTGAAGAAAACAACTTCCTGAAAAGTAGAATTGGCCAAGGGGAAAAGGAGGTCAAGAATTTGCTGAAGAAAATCATTCCAAAAAAATTAAAATGGGGCAAATGGAAGCTAATGACTCCATGAGACATCAAGAAATAATCAACCAAAACAAAAAGAAGGAAAAAACAGAAGAAATTGTAATATATGTAATTTTAAAAAATTCTGACCTGGAAAATAGATTGAGGAGATATTATTTAAGAATCATTGGACTACCTGAAAACCATGATGAAAAAAAAAGTTGAGAAACCATATTTCAAGATTTATCAGGGAAAAACTGCCCTGATATCCGAGAAGCAGAAGGTAAAATAGAAACTGAGATATCTAAATGAAAACTCTCAGAAATATTATAGCCAAATTCCTAAGTTCCCCAGTCAAGGAGAAAATATTGCAAGCAGCCAGAAAGAAACAATTCAAATATCATGGAACCCCAGTCAGGATGACACAAGATTTAGCAGCTTATACATTAAAGGATCAGAGAGCTTGGAATATGATATTCCAGAAGACAAAAGAACCACAAGTTTTTGCGGGGAGAAGGTCGAGGCAATCAGGGTTAACTGACTTGCCCAGGGTCACGCAGCTAATAAGTGTCAAATGTCTGAGGCCATATTTGAACTCAGGTCCTCCTGACTCCACAGCTGCCAGTGTTCTATCCACTGTACCACCTAGCTGTCCCCAAAATTACAACCAAGAATCATCTGAGTATGAAACTGAGTATAATCTTTCAGGTAGAAAAATATATAGTTGGTGAAATAGTGGACTTTCAATCATTCCTGATGAAAAGACCATTTACATTCCTATATGGGAAGATGATTCTTGCAAGTTCTATGAACTTTATTGCTATTAGCGCAGTTACAAGGAGTATACATGGACACGGACATAGAAAAAGTTGACTTTGGTGGGATGATATTTTAAAAAAAATTAAGGGGAGAGAAAGTGGATTGTATTGGAAGAAGAGGGAAAGGAGAGTAGAATTTGGTAAATTATCTCATGTGAAGAGGTGCAGAAGTCCTATTACAGTGGAGGGAAAAGATGGGGTTGAGGTGTCAGGCAATGCTTGAACCTTATTGTCACTGGAATTGGCTCAAAGAGAGAATAACATACACACTCAGTTGGGAATAGATATCTATATTACTTTACAGGAAAGCTGAAGGGGATAAATAAAAGGGGGTGCTGAGAGAAGGGGAGGACAGTTCAGGGGAGGCAGTGTTCAGAAGCAAAATGCTTATAAGGAAGGACAGAGCGAAAGGAGAGAGA